TCGTGGGTGTGAAATGCGAATAAATCGTATACGCCGAGCGGATGTGACAAAACGGCGCTGACGCTGCCTTTACGATCTGTCTTGTCCATCACTGCCGTTGCAGCTTCGACTGACCCATTGGTGACTGTTACAGCCGAAAATAAATCGGATTTGGCTCCGAGTTCAGGTGCTGATTTCGGTGGTGCCGGTTCTCCTCCTGGTCGCGGAGGTGAAGGTAGAGGCGGTAGAGACGACGGTGCTGGCGGTCCTGGTGGCGTTGGAGGTGCCAGTGGCAGTAAAGCTCGTGGCAGAAAAGCTTCTGGTGGCGGTGGTGGTGGCTCAAATGGAGGTTCTAAAGCACGTGTTGATGGCTCTTTGAAGTCCCCTGCTTCGGATGTCAAGTCCCCATCTCCTGTTCTCGGTGATGGTGGCAGTTCTCCTGGGGCTCCTACGGGAAGTGTAGGTTCTGACGGAAGCAAATGTTTCATTTTGGGCTCCTTTTCTTCTGGTGGTCGCAGTCAACCTGATGTTGGCAGTCCAGGTGGTGATGCATCTTTGAGCGCTCCTGTTGCTGGTGGTAATTCCCCACCCTCCATCACCGACGAGAGTGATGCCTTGGAGAAGACCGGCGCTGCGGCATCCACAAAGGGAGGGAAACCTCAAGAAGCAGGTGAGCAGTCAGGAGCAAATCGTGCACGGAACGAATTGCCCGAATTGTCGGCACCAGCGGAGTCAACACCCGAAGCACAAAAAGACTCTCCCAGTAAACAAGAAAAACCAGAAAGTGAAGCTGCTGGTAGGGCTGCAACTGGAGACGAGAAACGGCGGAGTGACGCGGAGACACAAGGTCCTTCCACCGTGATGTCCACCGCCAGCGCCAGCAACGGTAGGAGAAGAACGACCAACAGCAGTGGCAGTTCCGGCAGGAGGAAGCCCAACGGCACAAACAGACTCGCAAACTTTGAAAGAAGAAAGGACAAAAACGCCACCGTCACCAAACAAAAAGGAGCCTGAAGAGACGGAGCCTACTTCTGGAGATGGTGTGGCAGAGCAACAGGGTCAAGGCACTGTTTTACCGGATCTGAGGGGTGGACCTACCGGCAGCCCGGCGGAAGTAACGGCATCATCCATCTCTACAAGTGGCAGTGGTGATGGCCGGAGTAGGGCGGATGAGAATGACGGCAACAGCAAAGGGCCCAACCCCGGAGGGCCACACAACGACCCCGAAGCCAGCCATACCAACGCTGCGCCCACAGCCAGTGAGACAAAACCACGTACGGCGAAAGCAGCAGCTACCGCCAGAACAGATGGTACGGCAACGCCTGGCAGCAGTGACGGCAGCACCGCGGTCTCCCACACCACCTCCCCTCCTTTGCTTCTTCTTCTTGCGTGTGCGGCTGCTGCGGTGGTGGCCGCGTG